ATATATATATATATATATTATATTATACACATATATTATATTATATATATATATATATATATATATATATATATATATATATATATATATATATATATATATATATATATATATATATATATATGAGAAAGAGGGAGAGAGAGAAGAGATGTGGGGAAAACGGGGAGAGAAAATGAGAGAAAGGGAAAGGAGAGATGAACATCGTGAAAGGGAGAACATGCGAACAGATTTTCAAAAAACATGAACAAACAGAAGATTGATAAAGAAAGAGAACACAAAGTGAGGAGAACACTGAACATTATCCTGGACATATGTTCAGTTGTAGATAAGATAAATAAAAAGAAATGTTTCATGTACACATTCAGGCATACATACACGAGCTGGCTTGTATCAGCAAAGGTATAAGTGACCTTTACATCAACTAAATTATATACAAACATGATGGAGGGATGATGATGTTGGGGAAAGTATACTCTTCATCGGAATCTTCATCGGAATCGGAATCAGAATCTTCATCGGAATCGGAACCAGAATCTTCATCGGAATCGGAATCAGAATCTTCATCGGAATCGGACCCAGAATCTTCATCGGAATCGGAACCAGAATCTTCATCGGAATCTTCATCGGATTTTTTTTTCTCATCAGAATCTTCATCCGATTCATCAGAACCCTTCTTCAGCTTCCTTTCTTCGCTACTATCATCTTCTTCTGAATCCGAGTCTTCATCAGAATCGTCCCTCAACTTCCTCTCTTCACTACTGTCATCTTCGTCCGATTTCGAGTCTTCGTCTGATTCATCTGAATCATCCCTCAACTTCCTCTCTTCACTGCTATCTTCTTCCGAATCCGAATCTTCATCAGAATCGTCCCTCAACTTCCTCTCTTCACTGCTATCTTCTTCCGAATCCGAATCTTCATCAGAATCGTCCCTCAACTTCCTTTCTTCGCTGCTATCATCTTCGTTTGAATTCGAATCTTCATCAGAAGCAGAATCGTCTTCATCAGAGTCATCATCTCGGAGCTGGAATTTGCCTCCACCTAGGAGGGAAACAACAACAGAAAAAAAATGAACCTATAAATCAATAGAAATCACACAAAAAAATTCAGGAATGGTCATAGAAGTTTAGAAAAAATAAAGAAAAAGAAAAAAGGGAAAGAGAGAGCGAGAGTATAATAGCCTCTCTTAGCATATAGCCATTAATAAGTCGTGGAGGGAACAGCGCTTGGACAATCCCAGTATAATCAATGGGGACGAGGGGTGGGGGTGGGGGGGAGACGTCCATACGGCTGCAAGAAGCTCCGTAACCTGGCCAAGGGAGGGGGATCTCAGCGCTCGGCCCCCTACTCATAACTTCCCTCGAGGCGAGTTCCGACCATCGTCTGCCTTGGTAACAGGGTAGACTTAAGTTGGTCTACTCGAAGCCAGGCTCCACTTGCTCCGGACTTCCTTGTTCTGGTCTTCAGGTGGTGTTTACCGACATCTTCATGAATGCCATACTTCTTCTATCCATTCTCTGCATTTGTTCTTTTTCACGTCCTCCTCTTTCTGGTCTTTGATTTTTTCAACGCGTCCTCTGCATCCTTGTGGTAAAGTCCTTCAACGCCATCCTGGGGCGACCGTTATCTGCAGCAGTGTCCTCCGACGGTGCCGTATCGGATATTCTTGGTCCAGCGACGTTTTCAGCAGCTGAGCCAAGAGGACACGCACAAGGGCAAGAGGGTAGGAGGACAAGCAAGGCAACAGCGGTGGGAAAGGGATGCTGCGTTTATCTCTAAGCTGTTAGAGGATAATTTTTTTATGATGCATTTGATTTTTTTTTTTTTTCGTTTTTTGGTAAGATTGAGGAAGCAGGAAAGGCAGATAGCTGTACCAATCTGCAAGGACATAATCAAAATCTAAATCGTTTCAGACAGAGAAAAATTAATGTAAAGAATAAGCAATACGCAAGGCACTATAAATTTTTAGGTAATATCTGTGGGAACCTCAGCGCCACTACCGTAGATAAATTTGAATTAAATATACGTTTCTACAACTACAACTACAACATAACAAACGCTACTGATGGAAGGTTGCAGTGTCTTTTGGTTTACGAGAATCAGTGACTGATTTCAAAAAAAGTATATATATATATATAATATATATATATATATATATATATATATATATATATATATATATATATATATATATATATATATACATATATGTGCACAAGAGATGAATGTTCGTAACAATGATGCAACGAATAGCAAAATAACTAATATATAATCATTTCAATAACCTCACTCAACTCTACATGCGTTATGCAAAGGTAACCAGTGACAATAACTTCCCTAGCAAAGTTCAAATTAATAATTTTCGATTTCATTCACTCTTAAATTCAGATACATCGAGGTAATTATGTCTACATAAAGCTTCTTTGATAGGGTCCCTACAGTAGAGAAAAAATAAAATGATAATAACAATAATCATAGTAATAATAATGAATGAATTAATAAA